AAAGGATTAAGAGAGGATTAAATCAAGAATATATAAATTACATCTTCAAAACAATAAGGGTACAAACAACCCAGAGGAAAACCTGGGCAAGAGATGTAAACAGGTGTTTTACACCATTGCCAGTGAATGGAGGAAGAGATACCCACATCATTGCTTATCAGTGAAATGCAAATGAAGGCCATCATGAAAAACAGGACATGTATTTTACATACATTCAGTTGAAAAAATATTTTTAAAATATATGTCAAAATCAAGTGTTGGAGAGGACATAGATCAACAGAATTATTTTTGTGATGCTGCTAAGAGTGAAAAGTAGTACAATCATTTTGGAAAAGTTTGGCCTTACTTTATGAGCTCATAAGTCACGTTCCCTCTGACTTAGAAATTCTACTCTTTCGTATACATCCAAGAGAAGCTCTGCTAGTACAAAAGGTGAGCAGTCCAAGAGTGATCTATGAGTATATCACAATAGCAATAACCTGAAAACAACCCAGATTCACATCGGGAGAGTATATAAAAGGCATATTATATAGCTATATTACTACAGAGTAATATATTCTATATTGTGCAACGTCAAATATAGAATATTCTATAATATATATTATATAACATACTCTATTATATAAAATGAATGAAATGCAATGAAAGGCAACAACATAGGTGAATCTTAGAGATATAGTATGTGGAAAACTAACTCTTAAAAGATTAATGTGGGGATGTTCTTTATATAAAGCTAAAAATACTTTTTAAGAATGCATAGGAGTGAAATGAATCTATATGAAAAGGAAAGCATTGGACTGGATTTAGTGTGATGGCTGCCTGGGTGCAGGAAGGCACGGGGGTGAAACAAATGGTGGTGGCGTTGCAGGATGTGGCTTTCACACTTAATTGTGGGTCCTGGCTTTGTTCTAGGTGGCAGGGTCACAGGTGCTTTATACATTATAAAATATAATTAACTAAATAAACTAAATAAGTGAGCTATGCATGGACTAATAATGAGACTATGGTCCTGTATAACAGAATTCTCAGTAAAGAATAAATAAATATTAAAAAGTATATCCTCTATTTAAATAGTTGTTTCAAATCATGTCACAAAAATTGCCACCTGACGCAATATTAATTGGAAATGAAAAGATACTTGGTTTTGAATTTCAATGGGAGATTATTTAGAGCTCTAGGCTCACAGAGAAGAGACTAGTTTTTTTCTCTGTGCAGCTTTGCAACCTTACGGCATACTTACTGTTAATGTAAAGGAAGCTTGTAACATATACTTCACTGAAATTATTTTGTGTTTTTGAATTAACAGGGTGGCACTGAGAAAGCACATAGTCAATTTTGGTTACTTAAACACACATAGCTTAGAGTATCCATGTACAGAACACACCGTTTCATCCCCAGTCCTATTTTTTAACATTGGCTTATATGTGACATGTATTTTGGTCATTCAAATCAAGAAATATTACTAATACTATCAGTAGCCTTATGTGTTCATATGACTGAAAGAAATGGTAAGTGACCAAGTACTTTTCATGTATATATTTCCTAATTGGAGGAGTGACAGTCTCAATAGACAACATAGGAGTTTTATGAATTTCTGCTTTTAGGCATACAGTAGCCTAAAAGGCAATAGATTAACAGATAAGCTGAGAATGAATGTTTTTATTGACTAAATTAGTGTATCTTCAGAGTGCTGTGGAAATCATACTCCTTTATGTGTTTGCTGACCTTTATAGAAATTTAGTAACATTGGTTGCTCTTGAATATTCTTCAAGTATATTTTTAATCCATTTAAATAGTAGATTTTATAACTAACTTTTTAATGTGTGCATTTCGTTTTATTCTTATTCATTCTCTTTTTTCAGCCTTGTGAACAAGGACGCCGGATGAAGCGAATCCATGCTGTGGCTAACATCGGCACGGCGCTGAAGTTCCTTGAAGGAAGAAAGGTAAGAAAATAAAAAAAATATTAAGGAAGAAATCGTGAGCATATTGATGTTTCCAATATTGTCTGTGGGGTCAAAACGCTGCATGTAATCTATACAGATATGCAATATTATTGTAAGGTAATTATAGATTTATTGAAAATTTCAGAAAAAAGATTTCATGTCTATACTTCATTCATTATATAATGTTCAGAACTTACACAATCATGGTAACCTTATCAAAATAAGGAAATTAAAATAGGTATGATACTATTAACTAAAGCATAACTTTAGTCTACTTTCAGCAATGTTCCACCTATTCTCGTGTTTCTGTTCCAGGATCCAATCCAGCATCACACCTTGCATTTATTTAATTTAATTACCTCCCTCATTCTATGATAAGTCTTCATTCTTTCCTTAAGTCTTTTATGATCTTGACACTTTTGATAACTGCTGGTCAGTTATTTTGCTGAATGTCTTTCAATTTGTGTTTGTATGATGTTTTCTCATGATTAGATTGAAATTAGATATTTTGGGCAAGAATCCCAGGGAAGTGAGGTTGTATTCCTCCCAGTGCATATTAGTGGGTATAGGGTTCTGATAGGTCTTATTACTGGTGATGTTAACCTTGACCACTTGGTAAGGTGGTGTCTGCCATGTTTTTTTATGTTAGAGTTTCTGTTTTTCCCTTTATAGTTGAGAAATAAGTTAGGGGAGATAATTGAGACTTCTAATTTTCTACTTCTCTTCAAACTTTTGCTCACTGATTTTGAAATCCATTTCAGTAATTATTTCTGTGCTGCTTGCCTAGTGATGATTTTGTATTTCCTTCATTCCTTCTGCATTTATTAATTGGAATTGTTCTGTACTCGAAAGCTGTTCTTTCTCTCCCATTTATTTATTTATTCAATTATTTATTTCAGTATGGATTCACATATCTTTATTTTATTCTATAGTTATATTCCATCACTATTGTCATTATTATTATTTTGTTGCTCAAACCATTCCAGCTTTGGTCATTAAGAACTCCTTCAGACTGGCTCCTGCACCCACCCTTTTGACACAGCCTCATCTTTTTTTCAAGCACTTTCTTATTTTCTAAAACTACAGATGTTCTAGGCTTAACTTATATCCCAGGTCTGGAATCAACCACTTCTCTAAGAAGGCTGTGTTCCTTTTATTGGTGAATGGTATTTAGAAACCAAGATCTCAGTTCTAGGTGTGCTCATTATTCGTGGGGTGTCATTATTCCTAGGCCCTCTCAGTAGATAGATCTAGAAAATGTGTAAGTTTACTAACCCATGTATATATACATATCTATGCCTCTCTCTCTCTCTCTTTCTCTATCTCTGTGTACATATGTATACAAGTTATACATATTTAACTTCTCCTATCTATGTGTGTATAAACCATTAGTTCAAACTGGTACCTCTGATTCTAGTCCATTACCACAAAGTTTATTCTAGCCTTATGTGTTTATTTATTCCTGCTTTCTCTGGTAATGAGAAACCTGGCTCTTATCTATAATACATTTACTTATTTTTTCAACCCTATGTGTATACACATAAAATTGTTTCAGAATTGCTAACCCATACCCCTGTGAGAAACAGATTTACAAACTGGAGAATAATGTTTGTGTATAGTTCTTGTCTTTGCCATTACAGTATCCAGTCAAAAGACTTTTTTTTGTTTTTTTGTTTTTTTGAGACAGGGTCTCGCTCTGTCACCCAGGCTGGAGTGCAATAGCATAGCTCACTGCAGCCTTGAACTCCTGGGCTCAAGTGATCCTCCTGTCTCAGCCTCTCAAGTAGCTGGGACTACAGGCATGCACCACCACATCCACCAGCCATTCAGCTAATTTTTAAATTTTTTATAGAGACTGAGTCTCACTATGCTACTCAGGCTCAAAAGACCATTTTTGAAATGTACTTAGGTTAGTTCTATTCTTCCCCATCCCCTTCAGTGTGATTATGTTATTCATTTGTCATAGAAGTAGGTTTGTCTGTTATTGTTTGTGTTCCATTTTGCCTGCCCCGCCCCCCCCCACACACACACACATCCTGGTTGATTTTGTTTATTTGAGAGTGAGACATCACCATGGTTCTAAGAACAAAAGTTAAACTTGAGAAATTGCAACCCCCCTCTCCATCCCTATACTCCATTCTCATTCCCTGCCTATAACTTAATTCCCACTTCTAGGTAACCGGTCTCTCTAGTTTCTGACATCCTTTCTATGATTTTTTTCATAACTGAGATGTGTTTTCATATACCCCTTTCTTTTTTACATAAAGGATAGCATACTGTAGATGTATTTTGCTTTTTTACATTCAGCAGTATATCCTAGGAATTCACCCCAAGTCAGTTAATAGGGATTTCCTTATTAATTTTTACAGTTGCGTAGTATTCCATTGCCTGTATGTCCCATAGTTTATTCAACCACTCTCTCATGAATGGGCATTGAGGTTGTTCCTAATACTTTCCAAATGCAAACAATGATGCAATTAATAACCATGTGCATAAGTACTTTCATATTATTGGAGGTGTATCTTCCAGGTAAATTTCTTGAAGTGCGATTGCTAGGTCGAAAGGTAAGTGTGCGTGTAATTTTGTTAGATATTGCCATATTTCCCTCCAAAAGGGCTGAACCAATCCTCTTAGATTTAGCCTTTTCTAATTTGTGAGAATTTAGGTAGTCTGTGCCTGGCAATACTAAAACTAGCTTTATAAGTAGACATCCAGATACTTCTGGGAAATAGAATTATCCAATTATTTTCTTCTCAGTCTATATGCACTATATGAATTCATTTACTTCACAAATATATAATTGAGTATGTTCTATAAGGCAGGAATTCTGGAAAATACAAAATGAAACTTAGATTCTGGCTCTTAAATAATTTATATATTAATAAGTTGGTAATGCAATGAATTAGTATACATTTCAGTCAGTTGGCAAACTTCATGCCCGAGAGAGATTCCAGGTATTAGGATGGTGTAGAAAACAATCTTAGCTTCTTAAACAACATTGGACAGTGTTTCTGGATCATTCTAATCTCATTCTCATTAGAGGGTTTCTCTTCCTCCTGCTTGCCCTTCATTAGTTTTTTTACAGAAAACTGAATGAAGCCTTGTTGAACAGGATGTTTAGAGTTTTTCAGGTCATTCATTCTCTCATTCTAGTTATGTGACAGTAATGTCCTACTTCATTCTGAATTATATTTATTGTTAGTTGTGAATTATTAATATCTTAGAGAAAAATGTAATGACTTAACCTATGAAAGGCATTGTTTATAAGGAAGACTTGTTTTCACAGAAAAACCTGTTTTTATAAGGTCCATCTTCACAGAACAATGCTAAGTAATAAAAACAATAGGTAGAGGAATCAGAGTTTAAATATTATATTTACTAAGGACAGAAAGGAATGTGTTTGAATCTCAGAACAAAATCCAAAGAATTTCCCCTCTGTCCGCACAAGTCCCTGAATCTTTTTAAAATTCCCTCTTAAATCCCCCCACCCTCCAACTACCTGAAACATGTCATTTTTGGCCACTGTTTCTTGCACTTCTCTGTCCCATCGCCTGACAGGACATTTGGCTGTAGGGAGCAATGAGTGTTGAAGGCTCCTGGGTGCCCTCCCACTTATTATTTTGTTTTCTTCTTTACAAATTAAAACCTTATGTCTCAATCATATTTTTAGGAATTTGAACTCTGTACTTACTTTGTCCTCCATTTAGACTTTTTGCTTTAGATAATAGGAAATTTATTTAGTCCTCATAAGATTATTGAGCTTGTTTTGAGGAATAATGAAGGCACTTCTCACGTTTTACTGGGGAAACCCCACCACTGTGTTTGTTTTTTCTCTTGTTTGCAAGACTATTGAAAAAGACGTGTGTTAGAATCTGATAAGAAGCGTATAAATGTGACTGGTGAATGGATCTACCATCACTTTCCATAAGTTTCTTTCTCCAGCGAAGAGTCAGGTAGATCATTCTAAACAGTAATGCAGGAAGCTAACCACGGACCAGCATAGTGCAGATAAGGGACACAGTGCAGATTCCTAGGAGGTCCATAAAGGTGATGCAAAGCAATGAGGTGAGATAGAGGCTCACTGTGGTAACAGGAGCATGGAGCAGCCCATGCCCTGTCTTGAAGAAGGGAGCAAATACTCAGTTTCAACTAGAGGTATCTTAATGAAATGCAAGGACAGTGATCCAGGTTTTCCAATTTGTCAAGAAAACCCAGTAATCTGGATTTTTATTGAGATGTAATTATTTATATTTTAATTTGTTTAAATTACGTATTAAATAAGGCAAGTAGTTGGCTACTTGCATTATTGTTGAGAATGATCCAACTAACACCTCATTGTAGAAAGCAACTGGTGGACAGTAGTAATGGATTTATTTGTTAGGTTTTCAAATTTATTGAGAAAAGCTAGTAATATAGATTTTTATTGAATTTCTTTGAAATTTATTTCCAAATGATTCAAATATTTTTTGAGACATCTGTGGGCCTTTATACGTGTCTGCTTGGGCTGCCATAACAAATTACCACAGACTGGGTGGCTTAATCAACAGAAATTTATTTTCTCACAGTTCTGTAGGAAAGAAGTTCAAGATCAAGGTGCTATCAGGATCATTTTCTAGGGAGGCCTCTCTTCCTGGCTTGTAGACAGCCTCCCTCTCTCTGTGTCCTCACGTGGCATTTCCTCTCTGCACAGAGGAGAAAGAGATCAATCTTTGGTGTCTCTTTCTCTTCTTATAAGGATACTAGTCTTATCAGACAAGGGCCCTACCCTTATGACCTCATTTAACCTTAATTACCTCATACAAGGTCCATTCTCCAAATATAGTCACATTGGGAGTTAGGGCTTCAACATGAATTTTGGAGGGACACAAATCACAACTCAGTCCATAAAAGCCTCTATGTTACAAAATCAAACTTCTCTAGATTACATGGGCCAAATGCACTTGTCTATTCCAGGATACTCAAACACTAATGTGCATCAGAATTACCTGAAACTGTTAAATATTCCAAGACTTCACTACCTTAGTTTCTGGTTCACTGGGTCTGAGGTGAAGTCTCAGATTCTACATTTTTAACAATTAGTTCCCAGGTGATGTGTTTGCTGCTGCTCCGGGGATCACACTTTGAGAACCACTTGTTCAACAGATTTCTGCCCTCGTTTTACCCATCAATATGATCCCATCCTTTTTCTGCCTTCTGGACATTGTTCATTCTCTTTGGATGTCTCTCTGTTGTGCATCCTACCCTTCTAGGTGATTGAGAATTTACTGCAAGTTCGATTGGATTTTGTAAGAGATGGATAGTTAAACAAACAAATGAAATTGTGCTCCATAACCCCATTGTGAAACACAATTTTTAGAACAGAAAGTAATTATGAAAAACGTTTTTCTTCACAAATTAGGCAAAAGATCTTTGGGTTCTATAAGTCGAACATGTTAACAATGTAGTACAATTTTCACTGGGTTGGGGTAAGAAGTCAAGTTATACTCAACAGAATTTTAAAAAATGATATGCAAAGAAAAGGAAATAATCTGTCCTCTATGGAATATGTTAATCTTATGGTTATTAGCATATCATAGAAATTCGTGGTGTACAGATGTTAAAATGGATACAGAGAAAATTCTGGAGAAGTTGCAAAACAGAGCAGTCAAAGTGATTGGTTAAAGAAATTGTAGTAGCTTCTGTCATAAAAAGTTAAAGAAATTTGGAATCCTTTACTTTCCACAAATATGTATTAAATGTCTTACACTACCAGGTTTAAAAAAAGTAAACATACAGTCTATAGCAGTTCTCAATTTTTTTTTTCTGTCATTGAACCTGATGAATAAACTTCACTGGTGAGACAAAAATCGCATGGGCAAACCTCAAATGATTTCTAGTGATTTTTGTGGCAGCTTTTACTCTGCTCCATGATGGAAAACTAGTCAATTTAAACTATTTATTCAAGAGTACTTATGGGATGATTTTGCATGTGATAACATTTTTTAAGTAAAACATGTACAAACTTCTGACCTTTATTGTTAATAACACTTCATGAAATCTTGGCTGAGAATCATTGAGCTAGAAGTCTGAGGAGTACATCATTGTGTTTTTAAATTTGTTCAGGAATTATGAAAGGGATGCTGAGCAGTTGTTGATTGTGGGATATAGAGATTGACTGAGAGCGACTTACCATATAAGTTCATTTTGTTGGGACTTAGCAAGTAACTTTCTAATGGTTAGGAACACATCGAAATGAACAACTGGGGACAATCGTACAAAGATTGACACCTGTCCTGAAGGTTTTACAGTAATCATCAGCCAATAGTAGGGAACTGAATGCTAATAGTCTCTGTTTTACTGTTTCTTGGCTTTCCTTTGTTTTCCTTTATAATGTATTTCCAAAGTCATGTGCTGAATTTACTCCCTTACATTTTTATTCCCTTTGAACAAATAATGCCGATTTTGAGAGAATATGTATGTGTGTATATCATCTTCTCCCTTTGTTTTTCATGTCAGTCCATGTACAGAGGATCACCGGTTAGTACACATTTTAGAATTCTTAACTCCTGATTTTTATAGGTAAAAGAGAACATAAGTTTCATGCTATTTGGTAGCAAACTTCAAAGTAAGTGCATCTTCTTAAACTATTCATCACGGTTTCTTTTAAGTTCCAGTCAGCCTTTAAATATAAAGAATAACCTTTTTGTTTGTTTGTTTGGCATTTTAATTGATAATTCCCTGCATGGTGTTATATTTTTTCAACTTTAAACAAAAGAAATTTCTGGAATATATTTTATAGTTGTTTTTATTTTGTGCACCTAACAAATGCCCTTGAACTTTTTACTGAAACCATGTGCTTGTTTGTATTTATGGCTCACCCTACTTACTCCTGTGTGCCACTGTGTAGGCATGACCAGATCTTACTGATGTCTAATAAAGTCCTAATTATTGCATAGTTAAATTGGTTATAATATTCTAGTACATTACTAGTACAGTTTTTCTTTTTACACAGATTAAATTAGTCAACATTAACTCCACTGATATAGCTGATGGCCGACCCTCAATAGTCCTTGGATTGATGTGGACCATTATTCTATATTTCCAGGTATTGTGCTGCGGTTCCTTTTTAATTGATATAATGTCATGGAGGGAGAGAGTGGTAGACATTTCAATAAAGTCTTCATTTGCCACATCTTTGGGGTTTATCCTCAACTTAGCAGACATGAGACTTTCACACATACATCATTTTTTTGGTAGCAGGAAAATTTCCACTTTTCCCCTGCAAAGATGTTGTACATGGCACCTCTCACCCCAAAGAACTCCAGCCGAGGCACCCAATCTGAAAATATACAGGATGTCCCAAAAGTCACCATACATAGGAAAAATGGGAAATTATAGCTAATTGTACCTTTATTTACAAAATATTACAAAATTTTTCCTTTGTATGGAGATACCCCGTAGATGTAGAAGGAACTCAAGAAAATTTTCTTTGTCTCTGGAAGGGAGTAGTTCTAAGCTCCTATTAAACACAAAGGGGAAAATGAACTTTCCATGCCATCTAGAATAATTGTTCTAATCATTAGGTTTTATTTTATTAATTCGTTCATGTATTTGACCAGTGTTTATTACTGTGTGTAAGATGCAGCTAGAGGGGCAGTGGGAAGTACGAAGAGGGCTAAGACATCAACCATGCCCTTTAAGAGCTTACATTTTGTCAGGAGTCTTAAGGGTGTTAACATTTATAGTTGGCAATATCCAATGAAGGAAGAACAAAGATTATTCTTATATTTTTGCTGGCTGTGAATTCACAAACAGATTGAAGAGCTGACCAGCAACCTGCCCCAGCTCCAGTCTTTGTCTGGCAGTGCATCCTCCGTGGACAGCATAGCGAGCTCTGAGACTGCCAGCCCACCAAGTAAACGGAAGGTGGCCACCAAGATCCAGGGAAATGCTAAGAAGGCTTTATTAAAATGGGTTCAGTACACGGCAGGCAAGTAAGTACCTAGAGTTTCTCTAAATTTGAAACCCTTAAATAATTTGAGATATCAATTTGTTGCTGATTGCACCTTTTAATAATTGCAAAATTTGAAGACATATTTGAAGCCATTCAGTCTTGGCTTCAGCCCTTGTTTCACTCTTTCCTTAAAATAAAATATAAATATGAATCACCACTAATATTCTAGGAAATGCTGTAATTATATCAATTTCTTCTTCATTCATGTGACTGGGCTTGATTAATTAAGTTGATTAATCCTACACTTGGCTTAGTAGCATGAGAGCTGATTCTATTCGGGTCATTGTTTATAATTTCTGTAGAGATTAAATAATCTCTACACAAATAAATTAGAGGTTTAAACTTGATTATCTCTTCATAAGACTATTGAGTTCTATTTAATAACGTTGTCAGCTAACATCCACATTCTAAAAAAAATTACATTTACTTTAATTTCCTGAAACTTTCTAGCAATTTTATTTTTAAATTGTTTTCCTTTGGTCTTATCTTTTATCGAGAATGTAAATTCCTTTCTCAACTCTAGCTTTACGAACTGAGCATTTGCTTCTAGTTTTCAGTTTTCTTCTAGGCATAATAAATTTACATGTGTATATATTTATGTGATAATAATGGATAGAAAATTACTACTCTCAAAATGTTTTTTCTCATAGCAATTCCTATAGAGCTTTCAATTAATCATACTAATATTCTGTGATCCGTTGTGGTCAGGGGCTAGTCCCTGTACAAAGAAATTGTGCTTCTGTTTGATTTTCCTAAACATTTAAAATTAACTCACTTTCTATCTTGTTTTGCATGCCCAAATCTAATCTGAATTTGATTTTCTACTTCTGGAAAATAGCTGTAAACAAGTACTAACCATTATGAAATATTGAAGCACTAAACATAGGGAACTCTATTTTTAAAGTGTTTGAAGAGCAAAAATAAAAAGAGAAAAAGATAAACATAGAAAAGATGTAATTAGTGTTACTAATTTGTGTAGTTTTGTTTAGCTTTCAAAGTAAGGTCTAGTTAGGGGTATGTTTTTATGATTCAAGTTATAGTCAAAAATATTTCTGAAAATAAAGCTTTGTGGCTCTTTAGAATCTGTAGTAGAAATTAAATAAAAGCCCTTCCCACATTGCTAGTACACTGTTTGATTGGGTCTATAATCAAACAGTACAATGGGCATTACTAATCTCTACAGCAACTTAACTGGGCAGGAAGAAGAAATGTGTTAGGTACAAGAAGACTGGTAACCACGTGCTAACATTTATTGTGATACTCTTGTGGTTAAACTTTGTAATAATGTCAGTGTGATATTCTGCTGCCCATTGCTCCAGGCAGCATTAAATTAACCAAAAATAAATTGATTTTCTTTAACAATATAGTAACTTTCATTTAATAATGTAGTAAACTCAAATCTAATGCTGTTGGAGTTATCCTGCATTTAATTTAGTTTTACGCATGCTGTTTTGGGTGTCAAAGACATACAAGAGTGTGATCACAGCTCAAAGTCATTCCTGCAAATTGTGTATTGTAAACAGTAGTGGAAATTTGATTTTCCTTATTTGTGTAAATGTCCAGAATCATGGACTTGAGGGTCCTCCACCTACCAACACATCAGTAAGATCTGTTTCTTTTGTAGCTGCATAAATTGTAGAAGTTTGGAGAGATGACTATCCCAAGCTGTGAAAATTCTGTAATAAACACATGATTATATTACGCTATCAACCTGTTCATAATTTTTTCTAAAAGCTGCTTTTTATATTATCCCAGTATGCGTTTTTTAAGCAACTTTTTATCTGACATATGTAAAAGACTTTAAAATCTGTATCCAATTCAGTATATGAATAACATTGTTCCTAAAATTATTAAGTATAAGATCCCTTGTGGACACCTTAAACATATAATCACATACCTTTGCATTTGTACATTCTAACGCATTTGATATAATTCAGCCACATTATCTTAGTCTGTTATAGCCTGTTCCTGTACAACACAGTGCTGCTTAGCATTAGAAATGTGTTAGATCTTTCTTTAAAAGATAATTATTTATTTATTGTCATCATTTTTGGTGTTTTTATAATTTTCCTTTTTTAAAATTTTTTCAGATATTTTTTCTCTAGGTTTTTTTCCTTTAAAAAATAAGTGTATAAAGGTGCTTTACATTGACTTTCTTAACGGAAAAATCTAACAGAAAAGTCTAAATATGGAACAAGAATTTCTACATCTTATCATGTTACCCTCTAAGATTTTCAGTTTGCTTAATTTTTCTCAAAAACAATGAACCGATATCGCTAATTGCACATCATCGATGAAAAGCATTGGATTTTGCATAAGGTCTTGGAGAAAAGGCTTGTATGCTTTCAGAATGTGACGTTATTTTATGTTTTTATCACACTAAGGCACACTGGAATAGAAGTGAAAGACTTTGGGAGGAGCTGGAGAAGTGGGGTTGCCTTTCATTCAGTCATCCATGCCATTCGACCTGAACTAGTGGACTTGGAGAAAGTGAAAGACAGATCTAACAGAGAAAATTTGGAGGATGCTTTCACCATTGCCGAAACAGAACTGGGGATCCCAAGACTGCTAGATCCCCAAGGTAGGCTGGATAATGGTACAGCACAACACAGTGCATCTGCATGTCTTATACCCAGAAATTACACATGACTTCCATAGTCAGGAATAAAATATGACTCCATTGCTCCAAACAGTATCAGCCAGGTGAACTGGACTTACTCAATATACTCAAGGTGGAATGGAAGTTTTGGAAGTGTGTGCACAGGGTGTGGAGATGTGACAGGATAGAAGAATTACTCTATGTCTGTAACTCCAAAGAATCTGGGAGAAATAGATTATAAGTAATCTAAGATTATATCTTTAAAATATTGGTCATTAGATGCTTAGAAATATTCATAGCCATCCAGTGTTTTGGTGTCAATCAGAAAACTACACAAATGATTGACTAATATTTGTCATTTCAATTGTTTGGCATATTTTTGGTAAGGTTGTAAATTTTAAGACTTTCTGGAAATGGAGTTAACTCCTTCAAGCCTTCAAAAGACAATTGTGATGCCTTCGATAAATTTTAATAAACTACTAAGTTGCTTGTTTTGTTGAAATAAAAGTATCAAAGTGAATTTTCCAAATGTCACTGATAATTTCTTATTTAGGTTGGCAATTATGGAAATTTCTATTAATAAATGCAGAAATGTAAATATACAGTGAAAGCAAATTATCCACCACCCCTCAACCTTCCTGGCCTCTGGTTACCACCAATCTACTCTCTATCTTCATGATTATTATTTTTAAATAATGAAAATTATTTTTATAGATGGGAATTCAGAATGAATTTTCTAGCTCTAAAATGAATGGGATACACTTGTGTTTCCAAGAGTAAGTTACAGAGACCTGGTTGGGTTTACTCTGGGGCCCTATGAGATCTCTTGCCACATTAGGATTCTGCTTTGGGCCTCCTACTTTCACTAGGATAGCCAAGGACTTTCCACCTTGTTTCTGGGGGGAAAAAAAAGGGAAAAACTGCACACATACCCAAGCCATCAATTTCAGAGGATGTAACAGAGCTGAAATTTTTTCTGGAGTGAGATGAAAGGGGAGTATAAATGATTTTTTCATATCCACTAGACTAAAATATCTTAATATTTTCTTTGATGATCAGAAATTGAGGTTGCCCAAATATGAGTCTGTCTCAGATATAAGGCGATCCTCTGTTTTCCTAGTGAGAACTTCCCCTTCAAAATTTCTTTAGCCAACTTGAATGAATAAACTTTTAGGGATACAGATTAAATAAGACCAATAGCTATGATAATAATTATTGTATGATTTAGTTAGACGTATGCCATTCAGTAACAGCACATACTATGCTAACTCATGTGTTAAATGTTGCTTTTCTTTCTTCGCATTTCCTGAGACAGTTTTACTCATTGTTCACCTGCATCTTCAACATCAGTAATCTTGTCATGTCTAAAATCACCTGTCAGTCATCTAACAAATTTCAGAATACTTTATCTTTGTTTCCTTTTAAGTTGTGTGAGTTACAACACCTTTAAAATCTTACATTGAAAGTCTCTAGAAATTATATCTCAAATTAAAAGAAACTTTTACAAAATATTAGATTAATTTTATACTTTGTGGTGATTTGTTTTGCTTTTCCTTTTGGCTCTATCCATTGCTCCGCAAAATGTTATCATTTTTCGTTGCCTTTAAAATGGTTATTTTAAAGACTCGTTTATAGCATTCCACACTTTATTTATGCAGTCTTACCCCCATATATAATTACTAAATCTGTATAAATTTACTTGCCTGATTTTTACCAATTTTATTCTGTAAATATCTGTAAGCTTCAAAATCGCAATGATTGAGATCTCAGGCTGTGTCTCCCTCTAAGAGTACTTGACAGTTCAAAGTACAGTGATTTAGGGATAATGTCCCACAGTGAAGAGGCCATCTAAGAAATTGAATATAAGGCATCTCCCTTTCTTCTAAAGCAAAATTTGTGATGGTGATGGGGGGAGCTTATCTATATTTGGTCATATATATAATCGTATATGAGGCTATCATTCAGCATCACATCTGTAAGCATTTTCGTACTACACACTCACCCCAATTCTAAAATGCACATATTATTTGTACTTTGTTAACTGCATAGAAGTTCTGAGTAACTATACAGTACTCTGATTTCTAATTAATTAATGTTGTGATTATTTAAATGAAACATATACTACTTTCCTAAAAGCTCTTTGTTAAAATGTGTGGTCTTTCTTTTTTATTTTATTAGAGACAGGGTCTCTCTCTGTCACCAAGGATGGAGTGCAATGGACCAATCGTAGCTCACTCTAACCTCAAACTCTTGGGCTCAAGCAACCCTCCCACCTCAGCCTCCCCGAGTAGCTAGTACTACAGGCGGATGCCACCATGCCCGGTTAAAATGTGCCATCTGAGTCATAAAATTTCCACCACATATCATCCACACTAAATTGATTTCCCTTCCCCTCAAAATTTTAAATAGTAATTCTATTTTCATTCTACATTTTGGACGGTGGTTTTTGGTACAATTGCTAGATTTCGAAGCTTGTATTATTGAATGCTGATTAATTTATTCACATTTGGCTTTGGTTTTTTCCAGATGTCGATGTGGATAAACCAGATGAGAAGTCTATTATGACCTATGTAGCCCAGTTTCTGAAACATTATCCTGACATCCACAACACAGGCACTGATGGGCAAGAGAACGAGGTAGGTACTTGTTTTCTGCAAGCATTGATAGTGAACGCAGTGATAGTGACTCGGATTTTTAAGTGTAGTGTTTCCAAAACATTAAACTGGAATGTATTTTAATACGAGATCAACTGGATAAAAAATAGATACTACCAAAGGGGGAGGTGATTAGAGGAAAAAGTTTTTCTGGTTTGTATATTGGATACGTCAGAGAGAGCATTGCTAATAGTAAATGCAAGGTATGTGATGCTGATAAATTAAAATTGAGGAAAGATAGCAGTGTTGGGAAATGCATTTTAGTAAGTTGAGGATTGAAGTAATCGTGTATCTGTCACGTCATTTGCATGATTAGATCTTATGTCCCCTTTTTCTGCTTTATCTGATGAAATCTAATTCTGACTTTTGGATTTTATTATATCTACTCCCACCAAACTTACGGAAGTAAGGCACAATTCGTAAAAGCTCTTATTATTTGCTATGGTTAGATTTTTCAGCCTTTCAATAGTTTAAATAACATTTATATTTTTCATATTGCTCTAATGACATATGTTCATTGTCACAAATTTAAAAATTGAGAAAAAAAAAAGAAAAAGGAAAATTATCTTTACTTGAACTTCTAGAGAGAACCTATCCTAGAAAAACAATTAATATGGTGGTGTTAGTTCCCAACATTTTTATATGTATATATAGACATAAAATATTTTAACAAAATAGAATCTTAGTGTCCATATAATTTTATAATCTTCTTTTTTCATTAATATTATAGAGAACTATGCAAGTCATCATATGTATATACAATAATTTATTACCCAATCTTAATTATTGAAAATTTCTAATTTTTTGCTATTATAAACAGTGCTTTTATGAACAATCTTTAATAAGGTGTTGTTCTAAGATTCTTTTGTAGAAGTAGAATTCTAGGAATAACATACAAAATTTTAATGCTTTTAAACATGTTTTTCAAATCCCCGTGGAGAAAGTTTGTTCCATTTCACACTCTAGCCAGCACAGCAGAGTGCCCGCTTTCTTGGTCTTTAACAGCGATGCATATGACCATTTTCTAAATATTTTGGAAGTAGCATTGTATTTTTTAATTATAGAGGGGTGGAAGATTCAGTGCTGAATTTAGCAATAATCATAAGGTGCTTCTTCCTTTCCTTTCCCTTTTCCTCCTGAAAAGAAATTTAATTATAAGGCAAATGGGATCAGGGAAAATAATAAATGGAATTTTCAAGATACGTTAAAAACTCTGTCTTCATTACTCAGGTCTCAACTGGAGTTTTCAGAGCAGTTGAGATCACAATGAAGAGCAGTAAGAAAACCAAACATGTTAAAATGTGTTTTCTAAATAGACTTAGAAACAGCCTAGGGAAGGAAAAGGTTAGAAGAGCATAACTCAGAGTTCTCAAGCAGGAAAAGTTCTTTTGCCAAGAGTTAGAAATCAGTGGCTTCATAAAAGAATTAAGCAAAACAAAGGTAACAGTTCTTTCCTAGGTCTCTTGGATGAAGTTAATCTGGCATTTAATAGAACTATGTTAGTTTCTTAAAAACTATAATTTCAGGAAATCTCTTTTGTTCCTTGTCAGGATTCGGACACAAATATTGATCATCAGAGTAACTTATCTAGAGTTAGTAAAATAAATGTTTCTGAGAAACACCACAAATGGCTAAAGCAAAGACTCCATGTGCAAATGCAAGCATAAAATGTGCAAGTATTTTGGAGTCATTTTGGGCTTATTGGGTTTTGACAACATAATTGGACATGAATGTTAATGTCTGAATAAGAAACTCTGTAAGAAGGCATGTTAGACTTATGCCATACAGAACAGAGAAAATCCTTCCAAATTTTCATCTGGTTTTCTCATCTGAAGCCCTCATGTTATTCAATTGAATTTATATCTGATCTCATTTCTTGGTTTTTACTATTTTAATTTCTCTGACATTAATCATCTCTCCAGATTAGTAAACTCTGTGGCTGGAAACATCTAAAAAGCAAAAGGAGATGCTTTACTTAATATTCATGAGCAGGAATTTAATGCAAAAAATCCTTAAAACTTTGAAACACAAACGCTTCTTTTTTTTTTTTAATCCCCTTGGAGTTTAATTAAAATTCAGATTCATACCTCTTCCTGCCATTCAATTCCAATGATGGGTGGACCCTGGGATTCTGCACTTTTATTTTTATTTTATTTTTTTATGGCTGAATAGTATTCTTGTATGAGAGTGTGTGTGTGTGTGTGTTTATTTCAGCATATTACAGGGGTACCAATGCTTAGGTTACATACATTGCATTTGCCCCACCAGAGTCAGAGCTTCAAGCATGTCCATCCCCTACACGGTGAGCACCGCACCCAGAGGTGTGAATACACCCATCCCCTACTCCCCCCTCCCACCTGCCTGACACCCGAGGAATGTTACTACTATATGTACACATAAGTGAAACACACACTTATGACACAAGCTTATTAACACACTTTACTAAAGAGGCATTATTACTAAGAGGTTACTTTAATTATCTAGAAAATAAATTCTGATCATTTTTTAAAAGATTCCTTCTATCCCTTTCCTGAAAAGAAGATACTTATGACATCTTCAGGCTTATCTCAAAAATTATTTTTGAGGAAAATGTATTAGAAGCTTTGCCCTTTTTTCTTGTGGTATTCGAAATGTAGGGCATAAACATCTAAAACTAAAAATTTTGAATAATTAAAAAATTCATTTGTATGTCATAGGACTTATATTTGTTTAATGTAGTTAATGATCACCTAATTCTGTCTGGTGAAGATTTAAGATTTTAGGAGCTACATATTAGGGTGACTGACACCATCACCTCAAAATACTCAATATTTGTCTACTCAGCTCTTAGTAAATATCTTAAATTCATTTTTAAAAATCTTGGCCTGGACCTATCTACCCAGCTTTCATTTTTGTGTATTTGATTTCTACATCACCATTATAATTTTATTAAAATTAAATATTTTATGGATACCATTTTAAATATAATTTTCTTACTGGAAATAGACATTGCCATGCCTTTTTTACTTCAACCAGAAAAAAAATGATGAAGAAATTTTTTGTCTTAAGGTATTCCTTGGATAATTAGTACCCAATCATAAATAAATAACATAGATCTATTGGCTTATCTCACTCACCTATCAAACTTTCAGTTATTTTTTTCACTCATCCATTCTTCTACTGCAACCAATATTACTGGCTGCCCTCAGAAGCACAGCACAGTTTTAATTCTTAAAACTGGGACACAGAAACAGGTATGCTGTATATATTTATAGGAAAAAAAAATGAGTCCCTACACTTCTTTTTTACTCAGTTCTCCTTCTAACATGTTAACACACATTTACAAAATGTGTATGTCGCTGCATATGACTATTTTAAATTAAAATAAAAATATTGTTTGCCAGATAACTGTGTTGTCTTATTGGAGTTGGACATTTTTATATTTTCAAAAGTTATGAAAATGTCTTTAAAGTAATTATACCCTTAAGATTATTACCTATTTATCCATAGACAGAGGCCTCTCCATTGATTCTCTTCTTGTCTCCTTAATGATTTTTGTCCCTGATTTATATTAGGTTTCTATATATTACCTTTTCATACTGTTAGGGAATACTTCCAGGTTTCCCATCTTTTGCAAATTCTATCCAAAATTTAAGGTAAGGTTTAAGTAATCTCAAATTAGCGACCTCTTTCAAACGTTTTACATTCTGTGGCTTGTTAACCATCTCTTTGCATGTCTTTGTCTTTACGTGAACATTTCTTTTTTTATTATTATTTCAGCATATTATGGGGGTACAGATGTTTAGGTTACGTATGTTGCCCTTGCCCCCCCGCCCCCCTCCCCCCCAAGTCCGAGTTTCAAATATGTCCATCCTTCGGGTGGTGCGCATTGCACTCTTTGTGTATGCAAATACCCGTTTAACACCTTCATCATGTCAGTTCCTATTCCTTTCTAACAGAAAAATAACATACATACTTGTTATCAAATGTTAGTGGCAGCCTACGCCATCCCTAATTAGCCCACTAATCTTTAATTATGAAATGATATCAATTAATTTATTTTAATAATCCTTGTAACACTAATAGAATGATTTGCAGTAACTATGTTTGGTTACTTTAAATATGACTTGGAAAATAAAAACAAAGTTGAAGATTTATTTTTATATTGTAAAATATTAAGCAGGAAATCATTGAGCAAGGGAAGTATTCAGTTAGCTTGTCAGTATGAGTTTCCTCTTGTGTCTTCTGCTCCATATTGGGTCTCATGGTTTAGTAAAGTTCATGACATGTATTTGTGGAATGAGTGGTTGCGAATTCTTGCCCACATCTAAGTTACCGAGCGCATATCCTGTACTTCAACTTTTCCATCTTTCTTTATATTCTATCTGGGCCTGAGTTTAAGTATCTATCAATACAATAGACTTTAAGCCAACATTGGAATAAGAAATCAGAAGTAACTAGTTTCATGTCAAATAGTAAATTATTTTTTATTTCATGTCCATGAAGCATGTGTTTATATATAAACACAGTACAAAAAATATGAATATGCTTGTGTGTGTGTGTGTTTGTGTGCCTGCGCATCAGTGAATGAAAGAGAAAGAGAAAATAAAAGTGAAAGTAAAAGAGAAAAGTAAAAAGAATCTGACAGTTTAGCTGCCTGGAATTTAGGTGGTCTTCTATAAGCAAATAGATCCCCATGTCTTTTTTTTCTTTTAAAGAGACAGGGTCTCACTCTGTTGCCCAGGCTGAATTGCAATAGCACCATCATAGCTCACTGCAGCCTCGAACTCCTGGGCTCAAATGATCCTTCCACCTCAGCCTCCCAAGTAGCTGGGACTATAGGCACTTGCCACCACACCAGGATAATGTTTAAAAATTTTTCGTAGAGGCGGAGTCTCGCTATGTTGCCCAGGCAGGCCTTCAACTCCTGGCCTCAAGCAATCCTCCCGCTTCAGCCTCCCAGAGTGCTGGGATTGCATGGGTGAGCCACCTCTCCTGGCCTCCCCATGTCTTTTGAGTGCATCTAAAAGTTAACAACTGTAGAAAAGCCACAAGACTAATGGATACTGGGACTCTAAATATTGTTTTGTCCTTTGTTTTTCTCTTAGAAAGGAGAAAATCGAGTGTATAAATAGCTACATCCTTCTCACCTTATTGTAATTTGCTTGACACTTTCCCAGCACTGGAAAAAGCCATTACTAAATAGACTCTAATGAAGTTATTTTAAGAACATAGTACTTTTCTCTCAGGTGACTTTTGCTAACAAACAGCTCCTCTTCGGGACAGTCTCAAGGGCTTTTCAAACGCAGAAGTTGATGAGGAGTCTGTCCTCAGAGGTGCACGGTGAAATCCCACGCTCACCCCTTACAGAGGTCACATCGACCCCTGGTACCATGGATGGACCAAGAGCATCCTTTTCCTCTGAGCTCCTAAGAATGTGGTATCAGCGCTTGTCTGGGCATGAAAATCAACCAGGAATAAAGCATGTGTCTTGATTATGTTCACCTGCTTATTCAGGAGAGCCGTCATGGGGAGAGCAGAACCTTGTCACTCTTGGGCTCCAGCTCCATTCCTTTCTGTTATTAACTATGCTCCCAATGTATCACGTATCCACTGTCATCTACTGAGTGATACTGAGTGCCAGACACTGTGTTAGGCAATGGAAATGGGAAGATATGTAAGGCATTTGTACAGTTGTTCCTCAATATCCACAGGGGATTTATTCCATGACTCCCCATGGACACCAAAGTCCTTATATGCTCAAGTCCCTGATATGAAATGGCTTTATTTGCATATAACCTACATGTATCTTCCCATATTCATTAATCAGCTCTGGATTATTTATAATACCTAATGCAATGCAAATGCTCTTTAATGGTTGTTATGCTGTATTTCTGAATTTGTATTTTTATTATTATTTTTATTGGTTTTTTTCTGGCTGTTTTTGATCTGAGGTTGGTTGAATCTGTGGATACGGAGCTCTGACTGTAAAATGAGGAAAAAAGAGACAGTTAAGGGGAAAAATACAATATAATGCATTTAGGTAAACATTAGTGCTCAGCTGTTATAGGATCATAAAGAAGTGTTCTCAACATGTGGTCCTTAGACCAGCAGCATCAGATTTACCTGGAAACTTAGAAATACAAATTCTCAGGCTCTGCCCCAGATCTACTGAGCCAAAAAATCTGGGGATGGTGCCCAGCAATCTGTGTTTTCACAAGCCCTCCAGGTGATGCTAGTGCACATTGAGTTTGAGAACCACTGGCCTAGAAGAGAGACCCCTTCCCCCAGACTTCTGGGTCAGAAAAAGCTTCCTAGGGAAGGTTGTGCATGGGCTGAGCTCTGAAGATGGCATTATCCAAAGGAAATGGGGATATAAGTGTCTGGGCAGAAGAGACTGCCTTTGTAAGACCAGAAAGTGAGAGAAGCCATGGATTATGTAAACATCATGTACTAGTCTTTGTACTAGGTGTGTTACATAGATTACCTCTAATTCCCACCAAAACATGGACAGGGTGTGCAATGATTCCTCAGGTGATAGTACAACAGTAAAGAGGTGAAAAAAAAAAAAAAAAAAAGACACCAAGTTCACAGAGCCAGTGCATGGCAGAACCTGAATTTGAAACCAGTTTGGCTGCCTTCATATACAGCACTCCTTCCACTGTGACACATCACCTGCCAGTAGGGTCGGTAATTTTACCTGTGTCACAGGACTGCCAGCAGCAAGTGAGATGTGGTGGTTGAAAGCTATTTGTAAGTGACAAAAAGCATGTTAAATATGTTTATGATTACTTTGGCATTCTTACAAGATATGAAATCTTGATGAAAAAATAGGATATTTTTATCAAAGCAATGCTAGAATGGCTCCTGTTATTATGTGTGAAAACAAAGATAAAAATCTCAATTTTATTTTTCATTTTTGAGATGTAAGTGGTGGCCTCGATGCATTCATTCAGCAAATAACTTGGTAAATCTCTTATAGGTGCCCTGTTGCCAGGGCCTAGGAATACCACATTGAGCAAGATAAATGTGTTTTCTGTCCACATGGAGCTTATGACTCTGAATATGATTTCAAATAATAATATAGACAAGTCATCCAATGTTACTGTGAATCAGACTCCTCGAATTCAGTCCAAACTAATCCCATCCAGAACAGTCCTCTGGGTTACCAGTGGCGTTGGGTTAGGAAGCAATCCCCAGGCCTGTGTTTCCACTCCAGCTATTGCTCTTTCTGCGTTTTTGTATACTTAGGACATTCCCTCTTGAGCACATTTTCTTTATTAAATTAGTGTTACTTGAGGGGGAAAAAATGGAGGTAGATAATTTCAATATTCAACAAAATAATTAAGATATTTTTCTAGTGTCAATTTTTGCTGCTTATTATCCTAAAGGGGTGGGAGTGAAAAGAAAGAAAATTTTTCAGAGACAATTGGGACTTACTAAATACTAAGTCTCTTCTAGGATTGGTCAAGTATTAATCAGCAATTAAATAAATACACAGCTACTAATAAAATTGCAATGTCTCCTGGTTTCCAGAGAGAAGACAGGCTAATTTTAAAGGAAACGAAAGTTTGGATAGAACAATTTGAGAGAGATTTGACGAGAGCACAGATGGCAGAATCAAATTTGCAGGATAAATATCAGGTAATGTATGGAAGAGGTTTTTGGATTTTTCAAAAGCTTTTCATGAATGAGATTCATGTATGTCATTTAATCTATGTTTAATCTTTAAAATTATATTAATGAGAAAAGTCTTCAAAGAAAAATAATATGCATTAAGTTTGCATGAACTTAATAATTGTATATCTATCTAAATAGATGGTTTTAAATTGCCTTGTGTCCACACTATGGAGCTCTGGGGTTTCTTCACTTTTCCAGAACACAGCATTCTAGATGATCCAGAACACAAACATGGAGTCATTGTTTTTATAGAACTTGTGGTCTTATAGATGTCATCCAACACAAAAATCCACACATACACACAGAAAAGTCTTGAGTCAAATTGAAAATTACTACAAAATAAGCTAAATCTAGTAAAGGATTGCAACACAAATATTTGGTGTGGGTCCATTAAAAGGACCAGTTTCTACTGTGACCTGCCTAGTTCAACACTATTGAATTCAAGTTGAGGTCGGTGTTGTTTTTATTTTTCCCCATGCTCATTATGCTGTCATTAATTGGATTTCTACTTCTAAGATACAAAGTCTTATAACAGATTTTTCCCATTAAAAAGTTGTGACATATTTTATGCAGCATTGTCATTTTTCTCCTATTTCAAATATCACTCCATTTTAGTGGCAAAATTAAATGTAGTATATTCTATAGAATTCTCTACTCTACATCATATTTCAATCATTTGTGCTACCAGAAAAAAAGGGGGGCATAAAATGATATGAGAGTTTCAGCATGGCAGACAATAAAGTATTCATCTCTGGCATTAGTATGTGATTTTATATAATCATATCTATAAACATGCCTGATTTTAGATGGATGATATATCAATATTATATTTGTTGAATTTGGCAAAGCAATAAATATGGGCTTATTATGCATGTACTCTCTTGCTTTGCAACTCAATCTAATCTTTTCTCCCAGAAATAAAATTTTCTGGGATGATTTCCATTAAGAAATGATTAATCCAGTAAACTGAGAACAGAAATGCAAGAACAGAGTGAATATACTTATTTAGTACATTGGTAAGTTTTAGTTTCAGCATAAATTATGAAAAACTAAATTTCAAGTTATAAAGTTACCTGTTGTGCAGATGCTATTTTATAAGAGGTAAAAAAAGGATTAGAAAAGTATACAACAGAAACACTCCTGTAGGCCAAATGTGATCACTGGTCTCCTAAAACAGGATTAGACTATATGAAATCTGAATACAGGGAAAATTTTCTTTTATCTTTGTATTATATACATCTGTTTCAACCTTTCAATAAATGCTGTATTTTCCAATTTTTCCATTCAGAGAAGTCTATGGGATACAATTAAAAATTGATTTTACGTTTTGTATTTTAAAAATTCCGTTAAATTAGAGGGAAAGGAAGATAAAACTTGAAGTAAAATTCTTATTCACTATCTCCCCCCAGTGTTCTTCATGTGAATTTACATGTTGGTTTATAATTTTGAAATTCGTTTAGATGTTTTACCTGCTAGATTCTGTGAGGCCATTCTCCTGTTCTGAAACATAATTGCACATTTTAATGGTATTTTCAATTCATATGTGGACTTGGAGTCACATTTTAGGGTGGGTTAATTTAATGTAACATGTAGAACTTTAAAATAACTACTTTTCATGTTAGTGTTAAGCTATTGTTAAGTCTGCATATTATAAATTTATTTTAACCATGCTGTGACATACATAATATTTTAATGCCATAAAATTAAAGCAAAAGGTTATCATGTAAACGAGGTCCCCTACAGTAAGCTTCTTAATACAGGCTTACTTAAACACAAATTTAGGTATTAATTCAGCATTACTTTGATACACGTAATTTCTATTTGTAAATTGTTTGGTACTTTGAAGTAAAGCAACTATCTTGTTTATTAGCCTAGATTTATACTCCTGTTTACTGTCATTTCTTGGCAAACATATACTGGTATGTAAATTACTAATCTAGAAATGAGAAATCCTAGATTTTAGTCCTGCCTCTATAACTTGTCCTTGCCAAGTCGCTTCTGGGCTTCATGATAATAATGCACGTCTATGTTGTAGGGTTGTGGAGAGAGCCAGAAAGGATAATATGCAGAAAGCACTTAGCACAGGGTCAAGCTCACAGTCAGGGCTTGATGAGTGGCAGCTGCTATTAGTATCATGACTGTCATTATTATTATCGACAACATTTATTGAGTGTTATCCAAATATAAAGAATTGTTATTTAGGAAATGTGCTTTCCTTTGCCTTTGCTTTTTTTGACTCATTGCCATATTGTTGCTGTTTTTCCTCTTTTAGTCATTTAAGCACTTCAGAGTTCAGTATGAAATAAAACGGAAACAGATTGAACATTTAATACAACCATTACTCAGAGATGGTAAATTGTCACTAGACCAAGCATTGGTAAAACAGTCCTGGGACAGAGTGTCCTCCAGGGTAAGTTCTCTCATGATTAATTTCGTTAGAGCTTATGCATTCAGTTGAGAATATTTTTCATCATCTTTTTCTACATGGTGATATTGTATCAGGTCCTATTGCTTCTGTGTAAGGGTGGAAAGGCTTAACTATGGGAGAACCTCTGTACTCTTGTCAAGTTTTCCTATAAGTTACTGGAAGAGCTTGGTCTAACAGCCATTTTCCTGCTTTCCCTACCCTACCTGTGATATCAGGCACTGACTAGATGGTAGATTGAAATCCTGAAAGACTATGTGGATGACTTCTCACCTTATCCAACTTAACTCTGGGTTGTTTAGAAGAGATGACCCTCTTGTCTTGTAGAAGATTCCAAGGAATGGAGCCTCAACACCTTCTCATATTCTGAAACCATGTTCCATCAACAGTTAAAGATTTTCTTGTATTGACATACAATTTTATGTTCTATAACTCAGTATTAATTCTTATCTGGTCATTCATGAATCTTAAGAAACTGCTCATTATCTTTCATATTAATGTTCTTCATGCTTAAAGATCAAGATTTCAAACCCCTGGGTCTCTTCCACCACTAATAGGAATATTTGTCTTGACCTTACCATGTGTCCTGTCTTTTGGTAATCTCATTTTTACCATTGACTTCATCAAATAATAAGTTAGTTCCTGAGCACATTAACTCACCACAGCTAGCATGTCAGTAAGGCAGGAAATGGTGTTTGGGAACTGGATAAAGTGGAAGAAATGGAGAGAAGATTACAAAATCATAGGATTACAGAAAGAATCCTGAAAACTCATCTTTGTCCAGAACTTTCTAGATCACCCTAATTTTTCTGGACTTGTTCTGATTTTGTGAAAGGTTTTAATGAGATTCTCATTTGACAACCAGGATACACACTCGTGGGTGCATAACTATTGCATCCTTTGAGTATGCCAGCAAACTTGGTTCCTTCCCTTTCAGCAAAAGCCACACTCAGAATCAGTGGGTGATTTATGCTATTCCCGTAAGAAGAAAATTACTTAAGCTTCCAATAATACCCTTTCATGTCTACGATGTATTTTGAGTTTCATCAAAATTTGCTTGTCACTGTAATTTTCTCCCAAGACCCAAAGCATCAAACTTAGAACAGAGATATTTGCTTATTTGATATTTTTGAATTAGCCTAAAATCATCAACTTAAAGCCTTATATAGGCTTTAAAATCATTTGGGGAAATTTTAGAAATTGTCTTCTGTGTTAGAGATATTTAATTTTTCTATTTTCCTGCTTTTTTAAATTTCAGCTCTTTGACTGGCATATACAGCTTGATAAATCTCTTCCCGCACCTCTGGGCACCATCGGTGCCTGGCTATACAGGGCAGAGGTGGCCCTGAGAGAGGAAATAACCATTCAGCAGGTCCACGAGGAAACGGCAAACACAATACAACGGAAGCTTGAGCAACACAAGGTAAAAATTTTGTTTGGAAAACTTTCCAGCATGACAGTCCTAGTATGGTTTGGAGAGGTGGCCTAGTCGGAACCTATGCTGTCTCGGATTCCCCAAATATCCATCCTACGTGATTCAGAGATGTCACACCTGCTTGAAGTTTTCTAGTTTGCATTTTCCTTCCTTGTACTTGTTAATGATTGTTCCAGTTCAACTGTTCTCAAGTTGATTTCCTGAGATATTTTCCAATAGATCTGTGGCATTTTTTCATCTGCAGCTAGCTTTGTTATTTCTTTTGCTATACATTGTTTTCTAAAAGATAATCCCACCAATAATATGTGCTCTAGACTCATCCCTGCCTCCATTATCAAGAGAAGGTGGGCAAAAGTTCTTACATCCTGGTGCTTTTCTATAGGGGTTGAGAGGATGGTGGCTTTAAGAAGTGGTGGGATTAGGCTTTGATGACCTCTTAGTCCTTTTGGAATTTTTTAGCTTAATGTATGGTCAGTGGTATATAGTGCAACTTCAAATATACTTCCTCTTTGTGTTTTGTGATGGCATGGGCCTAACTAAAATGCTATATTTTATTAACATCACATTAACGCCATCCTGCATTTTGTGTCATTAACTTTGTGTACTCGATTTTCTGTGTCATGATGATGTTTTACTGTGTATGTGGAAAGCAAATAGATTTCTACTCCTGACTATACATGGGTAATTTATACCTCATATATATATGTGTGTATATTTTACATGACTGAGTCCCTTATATTTTATTTTATTTTTATGTCAATAGATTTAGGAGATATAAGTGGTTTTTTGCTGCATGGATGTATTGTATAGTGGTGAGGTCAGGGCTTTTAGTGTACCCATCACCTAAACAGTGTACATTGTACCCAATAGGTAATTTTTTGTCCCTCACTCTCTTCCTACCCTCCCTACCTCTGAGTTTCCAATGTCCACCACTCTGTATGGCCATGTGTACCCATTATAGCTCATGTATATTTTCTGCCAAATTATTGATAAATTTATATTTTTAATTGCCCCAAGGAAATGGACTGCTATATATTCTAGACTGAATCATAAAGCAAATTCATGACAGATTTTTTTTCACGCCACTCTGGGACCTTATTTTCGGAGCTAGAGAGGTAGAGATTCAGAGATGTCGCGACCTTGAAGCTCCCAACCCTTTCAGCTCAACTGACTCAACCCCAGACGAGCTCATCAAACCAGACAGACACAGCAAGGTCTGACAGTGGAGACCATCACTCAGGGTCCTGCCTCCATTTCCTCCTGGCCCCTCCTCAGTTAGACTCGGTGCCTTCAGACACTTTGATTTGCAGATTATCTCTTATCCCCTCTCCGCCCGCTGCCACCAGCACACACAAACACACACACACTCCCCCTCATCTGGCTACTCAGATGCGAGCATGACTTTGGTTCTTCTCCATCTGTACAAACACACACACAGAAAATCTGGGCCTGCTAGTCTGTACCTCAGCGCTCTGGAGGTGGGGGAAGCTGTAAGAGAGCCAGAGCTCAGGCTCATACAAGATCAAGTCACAGGACTTTTCCTGGGATTGAGCTGGGTTAGGGCTTCTCCTAAGCCTACAAACACCTGGCAGTGTCCATTTTGAGATTCCTAGTATATCAAAAATAGGAAAAACTGTGAAAACAGGATTATACAAATATCTCTTCAAAAAATTACTAATTAAGCATGTGTAACATACAATAATTTCTCTGTATGTATTATTTGTAATAATTGAAACTATTTTAACTGGTATGAATATTTGATACAAAACAAGTCACCTTAGAGTTTTAAATAAAATGTAGAATGTATACAAATTGTGAGTTAAATGTGTTAATTTAGCAAATATGCATTGCAGGACTAGAATGTGCCAGTTATCAGCATCGGGGAACCAGGTGAAGGGGACAGGCGAGGTCTGGACATTTGTAGTGCCTCTAATCTAGAGGTTTGAGAACCATCACGTGTTAGATGTTTACGTAATACACCTGAGTTTGATTTAAATGTTTCCCTGTAGAGAAAATGTCCTACAATACAACTGTGCTATTCACTAGATAATTCTAAGATTTCACAGAAATACTAATTCAAGGCACACTATAGGCGGCCATCAGTCTCTGATGGGAGTGAGTTTTAAGTTTGACAATGTGCATACTGTTGGTATGTTTCAGTGACTGCATGATTAAAGACATTTCATAACCCCTTCTGGCTCCCTTGAGAGAGAGAGAGAGAGAGATCGAGATTCTGTGCCAGCCAAGAGTACAGCTAGAACGATCACTCTGCCTAAGTGGAGCAACCAAGCCATGAAAACCAGAAATGAAATGAGGCAGGGAGAGACAGGGGGCAGGAGTCAGAGAAGATGGTTTTCTGAGACTGAAAAACCAGAAAGGACTAAAGAAAGCCAAGGAATACAATAGACAACAGGAAAAAAAACAGAGGTAGGTAAGAGCAGAGGCCAGGTTCAAGGTGAATCTCAGAATGATCTTTTTATTGAGATAGGAACTTTTTTCCTGATGCCTTATATTTGTACATATTTATGGGATACATGTGGAATTTTGTTCCGCGCATGGAACATGTAATGATCAAGTCAGGGTTTTGGGGGTATCTATCACTTGAGTATTTATTATTTCTATGTGCTGGGTACATTTCAGGTCCTCTCTTCTAGGTATTTTGAAATAAT